GGATCCTGGACCCTTCAACTGGACCCAATCCGTCCTCGTGTGTCCAAGCGGAGACGTCCATCATCCCCTCTTCACCACAGACACAACTAAGACACATCGGAGTCTGGTGAGTCAGAGCTGCAGCAAACACAGGTGTCTTACCAGAACCCCCCACCTGAGCCCAAACAGCAGCAGAATCAGAACCGTCCCTGGTCCAACCATGAGCTCACACAGAACAGTGTCACTCATTAAACACGTGCCCATCGTTAACGGCACCAGCTAAACATCTATTATGTCACCAAATAGTTGTTTTACAGCGGGAGTAGAAGTCGTTCCTGTCAGAACCGCCCCGGGCTCGGCGGCTTCGCCCCACAAACCTGCAGCTGCTGAAATATGAAGAGCACATTTCTACTGCTCAGCGGGGGCTCTGGCACCGCGGAGGCGCCTGATTAAAGGCGAGGGAGCGAGCGTGTCTTTATTAAACAGCAGAAATGCATTATGGGTGTTTTTGTCCCATCATCTCTAATCTCATTAAACAGCCTTCACAGTGGAGGGACCGGTTTCAGCTCGCTTTTAAACCAACTTCTGTGCTTTTCTGTGGATAATGTGGAGCTGCACCTGGTTGAGTGGCCATCGGCACGGCGGTGGAGGGATGATGGTCTGGGTTGGTCCTGCAGGACCCACAACAGGTTTAGGTTCTGGAGTTGAGCAGCGTTTGCATCTCAAACCTGCTGCAGGAAAATGAGCTCCTCCTGTGTGACCTCAGGGGAGGCGGAGCCATCTTCCTCCAGGGTGTGTTTACCCAATCAGAGACGTTCTTCTAACAAAGTCATTTAACACGAGTTTTTGGAGCGAGGGCTCCTGACAGATCTGACCCCACATGATGCCTCCAGGGCGGCCAGGTCATCTCAGCGCAGGTGTGTTTTACAGGACTCCTGACGGTGTTTGTTGTTCATTAGTGAGCAGCCGAGTCTCGGGAGGAGAGGTGGAAGTTTCATAAAACCCACCCAGCTGCAGATTCACCCGGTTTCACCCGAGTTCTGCAAGCCGAGTCCTGCTGGTACCGCTTTAACGAGTCTGGCTCAGGAAATACCCGATCAGAACCCCGTTAGTCGTACGGTCTCATAAAAGACTCGGGTCGGCATTTTAATCCCGGCAGGAACGCACCTGTTCCAGGTTTGTTGCTTCAGCCTGAAATCTGAACGTTTCTGATGAAACGAGTTAAACGTTTGAGTTTCTTCTTTAAAGCTCGTTAGAAAACGATTCTCAGGTCTGAAGACCAAAAGTGAACCAGTGCTTCCATAGCTTTGGTCCACAGATGGTGTACTGGTTACTTCTCTGGGAAATGTGGGAATGTTTCATTCTTTTAACCAACAAAACCCGTCAACCCGTTTTCCAACGTGTCCCAGACTTCCAACCATCCTGAAGGTTTGGGAGCTTTTACGGTTCTGCTCGTTCCGTCGTTTGGAACCACAGTGAGAACCGTCTGGACCTTGTTGGATGGCAGAACCAGATGACATTCCTGAGCGGAACACGGTGGTCCAGGAGATCCATCAGCCATGTCTGAGGAAGCTTCCCACATGTAGAGCAAGGATGGAGGTGTTTACCAGCCAGGACCAGAATCCCGTTCACTGGATCGGACTTCTCCAGGAGCTTCTCTCGAACCACTGGTGGGTCTACATGTAACCAGAATCTTCCACGGTCGGCTCGCTGGAGTAAAGCAGGAGCCGGTGGACTTCTGATACCGAAGCAGATCTGAAACGTGGTTTTCTAAAGGTGGGAGCTGGAGATGAAACTGCTCCAGGATGTTCTCCATCCAGTCTGACTCTGGATGTGCTTTTATCCAAGATGGAGCTCACTCCAGGTCTGGGAAGCTGGAAACATTCCTCCTAAAAACCTCTGCTTTGATCCGTCTGTTCAAACACTTCCTGTCTGACATCTTAACCCAGGAGGTCTGACTCCCGACAGGAAGACGTGACTCAGGATGCAACTCTGCTTCAGGAACAAAAACGGTGTTAAAGTCTGGATTCAGCCTTTTATTTATGTAGCAACGTCTCTGGGCGGGATTAACATAGATATGTAAATAAACATAGATATGTAAATAAACATAGATATGTAAATAAACATAGATATGTAAATAAACATAGATATGCATATAAACATAGATATGTATATAAACATAGATATGTATATAAACATAGATATATAAACATATGCATATAAACATATGTATATAATCATAGATATGCATATAAACATATGTATATAAACATATGTATATAATCATAGATATGCTTATGAACATAGATATGTAAATAAACATATGTATAGAAACATAGATATGTAAATAAACATAGATATGTATATAAACATAGATATGTATATAAACATAGATATGCATATAAACATAGATATGTAAATAAACATATGTATATAATCATAGATATGCATATAAACATATGTAAATAAACATATGTATAGAAACATAGATATGTAAATAAACATAGATATGCATATAAACATAGATATGTAAATAAACATATGTATATAATCATAGAAATGCATATAAACATATGTATATAAACATATGTATATAATCATAGATATGCTTATAAACATATGTATATAAACATAGATATGCATATAAACATATGTATATAAACATATGTATATAAACATAGATATGCATATAAACATATGTATATAAACATATGTATATAAACATAGATATGCATATAAACATATATATATAATCATAGATATGCATATAAACATAGATATGCATATAAACATATGTATATAAACATAGATATGCATATAAACATATGTATATAAACATAGGTATATATAAACATAGATATGCATATAAACATATGTATATAAACATAGATATGCATATAAACATATGCATATAAACATAGATATGCATATAAACATATGTATATAAACATAGATATGCATATAAACATATGTATATAAACATAGATATGCATATAAACATATGTATATAAACATAGATATGCATATAAACATATGTATATAAACATAGATATATAAACATATGTATATAAACATAGATATATAAACATATGTATATAAACATAGATATATAAACATATGTATATAAACATAGATATATAAACATATGTATATAAACATAGATATGCATATAAACATATGTATATAAACATAGATATGCATATAAACATATGTATATAAACATAGATATGCATATAAACATATGTATATAAACATAGATATGCATATAAACATATGTATATAAACATAGATATGCATATAAACATATGTATAGAAACATAGATATATAAACATATGTATATAAACATATGAAAATAAACATAGATATGTATATAAACATAGATATATAAACATATGTATATAAACATAGATATGCATATAAACATATGTATATAAACATATGTATATAAACATAGATATGCATATAAACATAGATATGCATATAAACATATGTATATAAACATAGGTATATATAAACATAGATATGCATATAAACATATGTATATAAACATAGATATGCATATAAACATATGTATATAAACATATGTATATAAACATAGATATGCATATAAACATATGTATATAAACATATGTATATAAACATAGATATGCATATAAACATAGATATGCATATAAACATATGTATATAAACATAGATATGCATATAAACATAGATATGCATATAAACATATGTATATAAACATAGATATGTATATAAACATAGATATGCATATAAACATAGATATGCATATAAACATAGGTATATATAAACATAGATATGCATATAAACATATGTATATAAACATAGGTATATATAAACATAGATATGCATATAAACATATGTATATAAACATAGATATGCATATAAACATAAGTATATAAACATATGTATATAAACATAGATATGCATATAAACATAGATATGTATATAAACATAGGTATATATAAACATAGATATGCATATAAACATATGTATATAAACATAGATATGTATATAAACATAGATATGCATATAAACATATGTATATAAACATAGATATGCATATAAACATATGTATATAAACATAGATATGCATATAAACATAGATATGTATATAAACATAGATATGCATATAAACATATGTATATAAACATAGATATGCATATAAACATATGTATATAAACATAGATATGCATATAAACATATGTATATAAACATAGATATGCATATAAACATATGTATATAAACATAGATATGCATATAAACATATGTATATAAACATAGATATGCATATAAACATATGTATATAAACATAGATATGCATATAAACATAGATATGTATATAAACATAGATATGCATATAAACATATGTATATAAACATAGATATGCATATAAACATATGTATATAAACATAGATATGCATATAAACATATGTATATAAACATAGATATGCATATAAACATATGTATATAAACATAGATATGCATATAAACATAGATATGCATATAAACATATGTATATAAACATAGATATGCATATAAACATATGTATATAAACATAGGTATATATAAACATAGATATGCATATAAACATATGTATATAAACATAGATATGCATATAAACATAAGTATATAAACATATGTATATAAACATAGATATGCATATAAACATAGATATGCATATAAACATATGTATATAAACATAGATATGTATATAAACATAGATATGCATATAAACATAGGTATATATAAACATAGATATGCATATAAACATATGCATATAAACATATGTATATAAACATAGATATGTATATAAACATAGATATGCATATAAACATATGTATATAAACATAGATATGCATATAAACATAGATATGCATATAAACATAGATATGTATATAAACATAGGTATATATAAACATAGATATGCATATAAACATATGCATATAAACATAGATATGCATATAAACATAGATATGTATATAAACATAGATATGTATATAAACATAGATATGTATATAAACATATGTATATAAACATAGATATGTATATAAACAGATATGCATACAAACATAGATACACATATCTATGGGAATTAGGGTGAACCGTCTCTTTGTGACAACAAGTTCTTACAAAGGTTTTGCCCTTTGCTGCCACCTAGTGAGAAGACCAGGTATTGCAGCAGCATCCAGGTTCTGGAAAACCAGCAGATCTGATTCAGAACCAGAACCAGAACCTCCTCTAAAACACAATGTTTCATCACATGAAGGAACACTTCAGGTTTCAGTCCTGCAGGAGTTTCACGTCTTATCAGGGTTGGAGTCACTACCGCTCCTTTTCCTCTTCCCGTTGTCTCCACCTGCTGCTCCATCACGGTACCCATTCGCCGGGAGTTTCTCACTTTGGAAGACAGAAGAGGGTGTTGTCTCTGGGAAGCTCTGACCCAGTCCTAGAACCTGCCTGACGGTCACATTCACTCTGGAGTTCTGGATGTACCTGGAGCACACGGCCCAGTCCTCCTCGGTCACGGGCTCCACAGCGCTGCCATCTGGCAGAACCGAAGCAGAACCGCTAGGTTCCAAAAACGATGCACACTCTAGCGGTGCCGGTAGGATCCGTGGGACGGCGTGGTACGTGAGACGGCTCGGCCCCGACATCACCATCACATCCCCACTGTGCATGAACATGGCGGTGGGGGGGTCCTGTCTGTGGGGCCCGCCCAGGAGGAAGATGGCCGACTGTCCGAAGCTATCAGAACACAAGAACAGCAGTGAGAACATTCCCAGAACCCAGCAGCCAGACCCAACAGAACTAATACCCTCCTCCTCACCTGAGAGACAGCAGAGGCTGGGAGTGGTCCAGCTCCGACTCGTCCACGTGGATTCCCAGGGACGAATCGGACCGGTAGTAGTTGAGGATGGCAGCCTCAGAGCTGAAGCCTGGGAAGCCACAGGCAGCCGTTATCCTGAAGGCCAGCGCGTGGAGCTCCGAGGGGAACGCCGTGTGATGATCGGCCGAATACGTCTGTAAGCAACAAACACCTGAGATCTAGAATCAGCCCTGATCACCGGAGGAGCCTGACCAGCTCACCTTACTGCCCCAGTTGTAGTGATAACCCAAAGTGACCCAACGCAGCTTCTCCAGGAGAGTCTTGGGTTGCCTCGTTCCAGCAGGATGCCTGGGACAGTTCCAGAAACCGTTACTGCTGATTCGACTTCACGCTGTGGTTTTCAAACACCCACAGGCCTTCAGTAAACTTTATTATTAAACTCTTGTGGACACGCCGCTCTAGGCTCGAGCAAACCATGGTTTAGTCGTGGAGGCCGGGGGAGGGGCTTAAGGGAAATGTAAACGATAAAAGATTATCTTCTGGATACGACAGAATGGGGTCAGCCATGTTTAAGCCACATACCGCAGCTTTAATGTCCTCAGTAGCAATTATTTAACAAAAATATGAGATTCATCCTTTTAGTTGTCTTTGAAGATGTGTGTCTCACCTGAGAAGGTAAGCACTCTTGTCCCAGATGTCCTGGGTCTCTGATGGAGACATGTGCATGTCCAGGTTGCACACGTTTGGTTTCTGAGGGTACGTCTTCAAACACTGTCTGACCCAGAAGGCCTGAGAGCCTCTCAGGAACGGATTAGAGATGAAGAGGAACCCTGACACAAAGCCAGCAGCAACAGAACTCTTAGGAGAAGTAAGTCAACGTAAAAGGAGATGGACACGCTGCAGCTGTGGCCTCCTAACAGGCAGGGTTGTTTTACTTTCCAAAGGCAGTTCTGCTGTATTTCTACCATGTGGACCAGCTTTGATCCTAAAGAGAGCTGCTGAGCCCCCTAAGGAACCTGGCGGGTAAACAAAATCATCTCTTCTTCTTCTTCTACTTGGAAAATGAAGACTTAATAAGTCAAAAACTGGTGTGTTATTTACATCTAGGATGGTGCCTTACAGGATGAATCATCTGCTCTGGAGGTCCTACCTGGGTGTCCCTGCAGGCTGAAGGCTCTCCAGTCTCTGATGGGCTTCAGTCCAACCTGGGCAGCGTCCTCATCTCCCACAGCAGCTGGATCCAGATCAGCTGACACGATCTAATGAAGAAGAAGAAAATATCATTTCTTTAGCGCCTCAAGATAAAAATCACGAGGCGCTTCACAAAAAATGTAAAAATATAAAAAAGCATTTAGAAAATGTTTAAAAATATATTGAAAATGAGCAAAAACAGACAATTGTGATTAAAAATGTAAAGAAAGAGAGCGAGTGAACAGGAAAGAGGGGAACCAGTGGATCCTGAGGAAGGTGGAATAGGTGGGGAGAGCAGAATAAAGAGAGAGAGGTGAAGAAGGTCATACAAAAGCCAGCTTGAACAAGTGAGTCTTCAGCTGCTTTTTAAAGGAGACCACTGAGTCCACTGATCTCAGGCTCAGGGGGAGAGAGGTCCAGAGTCTGGGGGCCACAGCAGCAGATGATCTGTCACCTTTGACCTTTAGCCTGGTGCTGCACAACCAGTAGGCTTTGATCACTGGACCTCAGGGACCTGCTGGGGGTGTAGGGACTAAGAAGATCACCAATGTAAGATGGTGCTTGTCCATGTAAGGCCCTATAGACCAGAACCAGGATCTGGAAATGAACCCTGAAGTTGACTGGCAGCCAGTGAAGCTGGAGGAGAAGCGGGGTGATGTGGGTGTGTTTGGAGGACTTGGTCAGAAGCCGAGCACAGGCGTTCTGAACCACCTGTAGACGGTTCAGGGAGGTTCTGCTCAGACACGTGAAAAGAGAGTTACAGTAGTCTAAGCGTGAGGAGATGAAGGTGTGGAGAACTGTCTCAAGTTCAGAGCGGGACAGAATGGGACTCAGCTTAGCAACGTTCCTGAGATGGAAGAAGGAAGAGCCAACAAGAGAACTGACATGAGAATCCAGGGTGAGAGCTGGGTCAAAGGTCACGCCAAGATTCCTGACAGAGGGTTTGGTGTGGGAAGCAAGCTGACCAAGAGAGTCTCTGACTTTGGGAACCAGCTTGTCTGGGACACAGATGAGGATCTCAGTCTTATCTTCATTCAGCTGAAGAAAGCTCCCACCATCCAGGTTCTGATGGAGTCTAAGCAGGTGTGTAACAGCTGCAGCTTAGACATCTCATGGGGCTTCGCTTTTTTAAGAAGCGGGTGGATTACAGCGTTCTTAAAGTAAGCAGGGACCTGACCAGAGACCAGAGAAGCATTAATTATAGAGAGCACGCTGGGACCGATGGACTGAAAAGCACTTTTAAACAAAGATGAGGGTAAGATGTGGAGGGGGCATGCAGAGGTCTTCATAGAGTTAACTAGTTTGGTTAACTCAGGCAAAGAAACAGGAGCAAAGCTATCTAGGATGACAATGTAACACACGAGCAGCTGGAATCGGTTTCTAAACACCTCCAGCACGAGCGGAACAACACTTTTGTTTCGGTTTCAAGTCTTCTGTGAACAGAAGCGCTATGTCACGTGATCTGCGTGTTTACCTGGTTTTAGAGTAAACCAGGTGACTTTAAGTTCCGGCTCTCACCTTCCCTCCCGCGGCTCCACCACGGAAATCAGCGACGTCTCTGAAATCCGGCAGAGGATCTCGTCTTTTATAAAATTTAAACATTTTCCTAAACGCATCTTCTCCGCCCTCCACCACGGAGGCCGCCATCTTGGCCATGACGTAGCTGACCTTCCAACTCCAGTAGCTTCCGGTTAGCTTTCTGATAACTTTATTTAACTTCAATTAAACTTACGAATCACGCTGAAGAGAAGAAAATTGTAAATGTATACTTTTATGGGTTTATTTTGTTTGATTACTTCTTTTTTGCTAGTTTAAAGAAAGTGTCACGCATGCGTGGTTTGACGTCACATGAGTCCGAGTGAATGAAGGGCAAAGATGGCGGCCTCTTCTAAGAAGGTGTTCGAGGTGTTCGTGTCTAAAATCCCGTGGACTGTAGCCGGCAGTAAGTGCTCCAATGGCCCGATTTATGAATCATGTTTAGTATTTTAACCAAAGCGGAGTTTATGGAGCAGGAAGTGACGTTTTACGGGTGTTTGCCTTTCAAACGGACACGTGGGATCGTTACGGTTAGGGACATGGGTTCTAGTCTGTTCTTTAGACCTTCTCATGGACATATTCTGAACGCCTTTAGCCCAGTTGGGTCCGCCAGTAGAACTGGTCCAACTGGGGTTGGCTGGTTCCAGGTGGACTAGACCTGTGGGACGAGTGACCTGGGTCACTCTGCTCCAGGTTCAAACGGACTTGATCTCATTCACACTCCGGCCAGACAGCCACGGTTTCACGTCTTGTTCATGCAGGATTAGATTAGATTAGATTAGATTAGGTTAGGTTAGATTAGGTTAGAGACGCACACAGATCTACTGACCCACAGCTAGCGCCAGAACGTCCAGGCCTGTTTATGTCTGTTACAACAACTGCTTTATTTATGAATGTTTATTTTCACATAAAACAGCGTTATTCTACAGCTAATGATGACAACTAATGATCATTATTCTATAGATTAATCATAGATTTTATCATGATGCGTTCTTGTCTTACTGGAAGGTGACCCTGAGTGCCATGAAAGGCACCAATAAATGATGATGATGATTAGTATTGTTATTATTATTATAGGTGGTATCGGTACCACCTGGGCAGGCTGACCCGGTTCTGTGTTTTTCCCCAGAGGAGATGAAGGAGTACTTTGGACAGTTTGGAACAGTGAAGCGGTGTCTCCTACCATTTGTAAGTTTCCAGACTGAATCAGCTGATTAGAACATAAACACAGCAAATGTTCTGTGTTCATGTAGCACCTTCTAGAGTTTTACTGCCCCCCCACAACAAGCATTCACCCACTCACACCCTGGTGTGGGGTACATCATAGCCACAGCTGCCCTGGGCCACGGGTCCCACCGACCATCACCAGCAGGTGCCTTGTCCAAGGGCACAACGATTGCCACGGACTGAGCGGGGCTTGAACCTGCAACCCTTTGGTTACGAGGCGGGCGCTCAACCCCTCTGCCGCACTCACACACAATAAAGCAGAACGTTAGAAGCTAAAAGAGAAAAACACACCAGGAGCATCTCTAGTAGAACCTGGAGTAGGAGGCGGGATGGGATCCAGAAACACCTGAGCTCATTCCTAGGACAGGTGTGTGTGCAGCCGTGCCTAAGCAGTGTTTATAGGTTGCATCAATCGTTCGTGTAGGCCTAAATCCGCGTTTTTCTAGTTTTGCTGAGCTTCAGTAGAGTTTTAGGAAGAACTCTACTGGGGCTGCGCGGTTCTTCTCACCACATCCATCTTCACATCCTCTCTAGTTGCTTCAGCGATCTTAAAGTAAATCTCCTCAAACCGTCTTCTCATCTGATAATGAGGGTTCACACCCAGCTGCTCCAGCGGCTGGAAATGCTCCATGAGCTCAAAACGGGTCGACTTTGACAGAAACGGCGCTCCACATGCTAGCGGCACAGCTACTAGCTAAACTACGTCCGCATGACGGAAGCTTTGGTCCCATTTTTATGTCCTTTCCTGTGTCTTTTGTCACTTTTCTGTTCAGGGCGCTCGTATGCTCTGGTTTTACCAGCTGTGTACCCTACCTGCAGCAGGCCAAAGCTACGCTAACATTAGCCGTTAGCATCACGTCTGTCTGGCAGCTCTGAGCCATGTAGCTCCGTTCTTTGCATCGGTGTTCTATCGACCGGTTCTCATATGTCTATCGAGGAAAAGTTATTTTGAAATATGTATTTCTAACGTTTTGTTGCCCAACCCTAGCTTTTCCACCAAGTTGTATAAATGAGGCCGCTTGTCCTAAGGTGACCCCTGACCTTGAAGTGCTTGTGTTGAAACAGGACAAAGAGACCGGTTTCCACAGAGGGTTCTGCTGGGTCGGGTTCTCCACAGAGGAGGGACTCTGCAATGCACTTGAGAAGGACCCTCATATTCTGGAAGGATCAAAGGTAAAACTATCCCTCATGCAAACACTTGTGGGTATTGGAGTCCTTCATGGTGACTGTTCCTCTTTAAAGGTCAAGTCACCCCCAAATCCTTTTTTATCTCATGAACTATAACTGTCTAGTAGTGCTGTAGACATGTATAGTCAATACTTTAGCATTTTAGTGCATCTTCCTTAAACTATACATATAAAAATCCAGCCTAAAACCGTCAGCGTAGCGCCCTCTGTAGGCTAAAACTCTGCACCACATTTGAATTGTAATCAGCCATCGCTATTGGCTCAGAATTGATTTGTGATGTTAGCTGGTATTTGTAACGTCACTGTAGCTGAGTCATGGCCACGCCTCCAGCTGGCTCTGCATCAGTTGCCTAGGCAACCCACGGGCTGATACAAAATGTTATGGCTCAGGGCCACTCAGTTTAACTTCCTGTTAAACGCGATCGTTAGGTGAAAGGGGGAGGCGAGCGGCTCAGAGCGCTAACGTGTCATATGGGCAGGTGAGTGGCTGAGCCAGGTGGAGGTGCGGCTGCCTCACCTGGAGACCGGTGCGGTGCAGCCACATGGTAATTTGCTGATAACGTCACGTTCTCCAGCGTAGCCATCAGCCACCGCTGGTTCTGCATGAATGTGGAGCAGAGTTTAACCTGAGGATGGAGACAGGGTTAGGGTTCTGGGCTGGAGTGTTACATTTAAAGTAAGCTGCACTAAACTACCACACTAATGATTACACACGTGTGCAGCACCATTAGACACTTGTCTGTGCAGGTTATCACCAAAACAAGTTAAGTCAGGTGTTACTGGCACTTTAAATGTGTTCAGGCGCTGATGAAGTTCTGCTCTGGAACTAAATGTTGTTCATTTATTTTGTTATTAAACGCATGTTTAACGTTCTGTAGGTACTGAGTTCGGCACATGTTTTACCGGCTGATGTCGTCTGGTTTCAGCTTCAGGTTCAGAGGAACAGACGTCCTTTTACAGGACAGAAGTCCTCCAGAGATGTTGATATGGACTGAACCGTGGTGGTTCTGCTGTGAGGATGAAACCAGCGAGATGTTCTGTTCCAGGATGGTGAAGACTGATGTGTGAATACGTCAGCTAACGTCTCATAGTTCTGTGCTTGTGCTCCCTGTGAAACTGGTGCCCATTAAAGTTTTATATTTACTGTAATAGTTATAACATCCCATCATGCTGGGTTCATCTGCCCTGTGTCTGCTAATAAACATGTTTAATTGTCTGGTTCGGCTGTTTCCAGTGTGTTTTCTGTCTGGTGATGTAGAGTTAAAGTCTATCTCATCTGAATATCTTAAACTTTCTTCAGCCAAAATGAGGATTTTCTCACCCGAGGACCCTAGTGAACTCTTCTAACAACTATATCCTTAAGCCAGTTGTCTAACTAGGTTTCTGCAGCCGTGGAGCTTTCCCCAACACGAGCAGCTGAACTGTGTCTACTGGCACGAATATGGTTCCAAAGTCAATATATATTTTTACACGGAAGTATTTGACTGGTAATGTGAACGATTTGTAGTGGTAGTCCTGTGTCCTGCATCATTCAGCCTTTGCTCTCCCGTTATTGTTCATTTAGAGATTAATTCTGGCTTTGTAAAAAAAAAACACATTTAAATTATTTAATTGTTCAAATGACGTATTTTTTTACTTACTATTGTGAACTTTTACAAACGTTTACTGATGTGTTCACGAACAAACGTTTGGCTCAGTTTGAGTAATGAGGATTTATAAAGATATGCAAAAATGTATAAAACGTTAAAAAGATTGAAGACTGGAAATGCCATCCCACTGACTCAGTGATGAGATTAAAGCTCGTTTGTTTTTAATTTGAAGTTTTACTAAATAACATGTTTACTTTTTTTAAAAACTAAACTGACAAGAACCATTAGCTAAAACTGATAGTTTTTTTATTTAAATGGTTTTAGTTTTCTAGTGCAGAGCGCTGATTTTCCCACTGTACTTGAACGCGACTTCGGTGATGAACGTGACGCACAAAGTAAGCGTCGTCGCGGTTAGCCGGAAGTGTAGTTTACATAAATCAATCAGCTAAAATAACAAACTGTTTTTCTCCGTTAAATCAACGGAAACGTTGGTTTGTCACCTGCTGGCAGCCTTGTTGACCTCGGTCGTCTCACGTGACCCGCTAGCGTTGTGCTAAACTACAGTTAGCCGTTTTCTCCTGAATAAAACTACATCTCCCAGATTTATGTCCACGCTTCAGAATCCGGCGAAGAGGTCAAACATGAAACCGGCAAGTGACGGAGAGGCGCCGAGGCTGTAGGTGCCAACAACAGGTAACAGGTGAGTCTGCGTGTTTATTCATGGCGTGAGTTCCCTCACGCGCCGACTACAAAACTGTTGCGTAACTCCCACGTGTTCCGGTACCGGTCGTAGCTGTCGTGGACTGTTTTGACTGAGAGGCACCTGGCTTTACCTGCTGGAGCCCGGCAGGTGAACGGAGTCAGTCCTCTGAACTGGCCCCTGACCCAGTGGGCTGATTCCGAACCGATGAGCGGGTTCTGTGTTCTGTTGGGTTCCACACCTTCATCTGGACAGGTTTACAGCTCAGGTCCAGGTTCTAGTCGTAGGGACTAGATCATACAAGAGGAAGACCTCTGAGGCCTGAACTTTTAACCCCTTGTGTGAATGACGTCACACAGCCGGGCTGTTGTTTGGGTCCGAGCCTCCTGCTGAGGAGAGGAGCAGCTTTCCTCGAGTTCTGCCGTCCTGACGGGATGTTCGTGGCGGAGCCCTCTCCTAAAACTGGACCTATCAGCGCTTTAGTCGTAGCTGACGCTGTCCTGTGATCATGTGGAGACTCCATCTGTCCTTCATGCTGATTTTAACGTCTGACGTGTCACTAAATAATCATCTTTAGCCGATAAGGAAGTAGTTCCTGATGCTCCTTGTCCTTGATGTCCTTCAGGCTCCCAGAGAGGACCCTCCTGCTGTCCCGCGATGGCGGTCCGGATCCTGAAGGTCTCGTCTCTGGCCTCGGCGCTGTTGGCTTCCTCCGGGCTTTACCTCTACAGCCGACCGTTGGACATCAATGACCTGAGTGTGATCCGCTTTGGGCGAGCTGCAGCCACGGTGAGCTCAGAGGTTCCACCTCCTTCACACTTCCAGATGATTTACTCCACTCTGATCATTCATTAGGTTGTGGTTCATTTACTGGTTATTATGGGATAGCTGATAGAGCTGCATGCACCTCAGAATCTGGACGCAGACGTTCCGTGTGCTTCTGGCTGTGCGAGGAGCAGAACCTCTGGATTCTGATGGAACTGTCTGGGATTGTCTCATTCAGACCTGAGGAGTGGAAACGTTTGAATAACTATCAGCTGAACCCTCACATGTCCCTCTGCAGACGGCGGTCATCAGCTACGACTACCTGACGGCTTTCAGACACGTGGAACACGGAACCGAGGAGTACCAGGCTGTCAAGTCCAAGGTAGACGATCTGGGTGGTGTTTGAGTCTGAAGGAGAGTTGTCCCAGCTCCCTCCACGTGCCCTTGGGCAAGACTTCTCCTAGGGTTGGTGGTGGTCAGAGGAGCCGATGCAGTGAAACGGCAGCCCCGCCTCTGTCAGACCGCCGTAGGGCAGCGTAGCTGTGCAGTAGCTCACCTTCACCGGCAGGGTGTGTGATGGACGGCGCTGAAGCTGCTTTAGGGGCGTTCTAACAACCCAACACGGTCAACGTGGATTTCATAATAAAGTCCCTTTAAGGAACACGTGGAGGAGCTTTAAAGCCCTCCTGGTGTTCGGTCTGCTCGCCAACGCAGAGCAGCTGCAGACACCTCAGTCTAACTCAGAGCAGGGCAGGACGGCGGTGCTCAGCGCCTCCTGCCGGTGTGTTTAAAGGTCACATCTCAGGTTCAGTAAAGGTCAGAGCCTCATCCTGCGTGCCGCTGCTGCAGGAGCGCTGCAGCGGACCCTGGAGAGTGCGGTTCAGCATGGCTGGCCATGTGGACGGGTGCTGCAGCCCCCGGGGCCCGGCTGGTCAGGCCCGGCTGAGCAGGCTGATTAGGATTAATGCTGGTTTACTCCAGAGGAGAGGCCTGGCTCCTCATCATCCTGCAGTCAGAGCTGCAGCCCCACGCTCCCGCTGCTCCTGCAGACCCAATGAGGTCACATTCATTCAGATTCACCCTGCAGGATAAAAACATGTTGGTGAAGACTAAAGCTGTCCTGGTCAGTACAACACACAAACACAAACAACAACAACAACATAAACAACCAGCAGACTGGAGGTTTTTGTGTAGCTGTGGCCTCTAAAGGTGGACAGCAGATGGTCCTCTCACCGGGTTGTAAGCATCTCCTCAGAGGACCTGAATCCTGAGCCAGGGTCCTCCTCCAGGATCAGCTGGCTAAGCTCTGTTGCTGTCTGGTGACATCATCACGCCGCTGCTCCTGACACTGAGCCGTCCTTTTCTGGTTGTGATGTCTTGTTTGAGTGAACGTTTAATGAGCTCCTGGATCAGCAGAGCTGCTTCCAGCCTCTTCCCAAGAGCGCGATTCAAAAGCCACTCGAGCGCCTCATCAAAGCCCCCGGAGGGGCCGCTCACAGCCAGTTAGAGCACAGGAGCAGGTGCGTACGCCGCGTCTGTCTCTGAGCTTCACTCCTGCATGGAGTCAAGTTCCTCATCCACACGGAAAATCTGCCATTTTGCTTGTGCTTCAAATCTTCTCAGTTAAATCAAACGTGTAAATGTGGTCACACGGTTGCCGTGGGCGACGACATCAGAGCATCCAGCCGGCTCCGTGAGCTCTGAGTGTGTTTTAATTTAGTCATTGAATTGTGTGTGTGTGTGTGCGTGTGTGCGTGTGTGTGTGTGTGTGAGTGTGTGTGAGTGTGTGTGCGTGTGTGTGTGTGTGAGTGTGTGTGCGTGTGTGTGTGTGTGTGTGCGCGTACGTGCATGTGTGTGCGCGTACGTGCATGTGTGTGTGTGTGTGTGTGTGTGGGGGGGGGGGGGGGCGCTTTGTGAGCGTGTTAGGGTCTCTTATCGGGATCACCCTACCCACATCGGTACATTTGATAAGAAATGAAAAGGTGTGTGTAGGTTGGCAACGATCGTACCACCTTGAGTGGTGTTACACCCGACAGCCCCATCTAGTGGACACTTTTGTTTCTGCGCACACCTGTAGTCCTCGTTCATTTATCGTTATCGAGGCGAAGTCCTCCATATATGGTGATGTTGATTGTAGGCCATGTGGACCAGCCCTAATAGGATATAAAGGTGTTGATGTTCCATAAAATGATGGATTATCAACATTATTGAACCTTTAATATTTGATTGATGATGAAAGTGGGTACTAACGCCAGGGAAACAACACCTTATTATAATTTGGCTCAAAGACAACAATATAGTTTATAAAAACAAACGTATCGCCACGTTTCCATTCTCCGCGATGATGCAGGACAAATATCAGACATGCCGATTCTACGTGATGTTAAAGGAAACTTGACCTGTTTTAGGAGCTTAGTTTAGTGACTCTGGAAGCTGTGATGTCTGGGTTCATAAATACATCTGGCTGAAGGTTTAATGAGGTCATCAGAATAATATTAACCCGTACAACGCCAGTGTGAAGAGCCCACGCACCGGGACGGTGGAAGTTCTCGGGCATCCATTCTGTAAGCGAAGCCGTCTCAGCAAAGCGAGTGAGCGGACTTCTGGTGTATCCGATGGTCGTAGGGCCGCCTCAGAACACGCACGTCCGGTCGACAGACGCTTCCCAGGTGGCTTCTGGCGGACGCTTTCACGTCTGAGTTGGTGTTCTTTATGCCGCTAAAATTATTCCACTGAAATATTTGGTTCCACCAAAGGATGGTAATTTCAGGTCAGCTGGAGCGTTGGCTGGACTGGGGAATACAGGAACTGATTTTTCTTTTAGAAGTGTTTGTTTATAAGTTTGGACCAATGAGAAGCCAGAGCGTGTACTGGGTGTGATCAAAGAATCCTCAGACTTCACCTTTCTCAGACGCTTAGAAAGCTTATTTCATTTAATATGAAGTACAGTTAAACATTAGTTATTATACTGATATTAATATGTGACATAACTGGTAATAAATCATTACTAAATCATCACATAGACTCATTTGGTGCATCTAAGATGTAAAATAAGTCATGAAATATTAAATATGTGTGTTGATTCATTAATTTACTGAAAAGCAGTCGAGGCATTATTAAATCACCTTAAATAAAACATTCATGGTAGATAAAACAGAATTTGGTTGTAATCAACCTGTAGAGTGAAGAACTCGTAGACCTCGTGGCTTCCAGCACTTCAGGGCAGAGGGAGGAGTCAGAGGACCCCAAAGCACTTTACACTACAGCGTATCACTCATCCATTCACACACACGTTCACGGTGATGAGCTACAATGTAGCCACAGCTGCCCTGCTGACAAAGGCGGGTTATGCTTACTCTTCCCGGTGGCGAGGTTAGGGAAGGTAAACCGGAACGCAGCATTCCTGGCAGAAGAAAGGACCAGGGGTCTCATTTATCAAACATGGCGTAGAATCCTTACTAAAACCGTACTTAAGCTCAGCAAATAAAATGTTCTTACGCCAAGCAGATGTGTGATCTATCAAACATGGAGGACGCACAGCTGCACGCCATCTCCGCTTCATAAATCAGAGACTATCTAGAAAGGTTCTCAGCTGCATTTTAGTCACATCCCGCCCTCACCACACCCACTTACTGCCATAAATGGTCAATGCAAAGTGCCTTGTGGACCTCATGCATGTACATAAGCCGGTGTCGGTACAGGATCTGCTCGGGTACAAGATCGGCTCGGGGTCCTTCGACTGCCGATGACGTCAAAGTACGGCAAACCCACTCGGACAAAATACACTACACATCTATACTGTTGGAAAGAATTTAGCAGTTTCGTTATTAAAATAATGTTTCTTAAGATGTAAGTTTGTATTTATAATGGTATTTGTAAAATAAAACACTATTTTATTCATAATATTGAACTCCTCTTTGAGCACATCCCTTGAAGGATCATAGGTATTAGCAACACCTGTGAAATTGTATTTGCAGGAAAGAAGTGTGTCCCGTTTATTGAAGTATTTTGTGTTTAGAGTTTTTGACGTCTTGTCCATGCGTAGTTCAGGTACGCTCATAGCTGCTAGCTAAAACTCTGGACTTAAAAGTTTTCTGGCTTTACTAAAATACCTGTCTGTACTTATTTGATTGATGGTAGTTTTACTTTCTATTAGACTCCAAATGTAATCATTTGGCACGTTTCTAATTCATAATTTGTAATAATGTAATCGGCGATATTAGCATTAGCATTCCTATGGGTTTTTCCATGTATATTAGCATTGCGCTAACCACTCGCTGCCAAATTGCAGCCTTTGCCATTAGAAAATCTCCTTTTGTCACATCGCAATTTAATTGCACATGCAGTTAACCGTTCAGCCCTAATATACATGCAGCTCTATGCTAAAAGTGTATTTTCAAAGAGGTAATGATGGATTTCTTTGTAAAAGTTGTCCATCTTTCCAACAGGAACATTTGCCTGGACCAACGTAACGTGATAACAACGTAACGTGATTACGTAATTCCGTAAGGTTCATGTTCAGCCAATCAACTACTTTGACGTCATCGGCAGTCAACGGACCCCGAGCCGATCCTGTACCGGCACCGGCTGTTGCAGCGCTCCACCAACTACATGGTGACCGTAGACCAAGGCAGATCAAGGAAGCACTATTTCACAGAAGCAGAAGATGAGGTACCTGTGGGTGAGGTGGACAAATGAAAGGAAGTGCTTTTGCAAAACAAATAAGAGAAAATCCACGGAGTGGCACAGCGTTGCTGAAGCCGTCAATGCTGACTTCTTCAGAGAGATCTGTGGCGGATATAAAAACATGATCCAATCAGGATTCGATCCCCAGACTCCCGGGTGAACGTCACGCACGCTAACCAGTCACCCGAAAGGAGATCTCCCCTGCACAAGTAGCCAGGGTGCATGATCAATCAGGTCACAGTGACAGGACACACACTGTCACACACGCATGATGTTCTGTCTCAATCTGTCCGCTTCAGGCTGTGTGTGTGTGTGTGTGTGTGTGTGTGTGTGTGTGTGTGTGTGTGTGTGTGTGTGTGTGTGTGTGTGTGTGTGTGTGTGTGTGTGTGTGTGTGTGTATATATGTGTGTGTGTGCGCGCGCTCATGTGTGTGTGTGTACGTGCGTGCGTGTGTGTGTGTGTATGAACCTAAATTTAGAAAATCATCCAGCACCAGCAGGCCACCCATGCCCCGGCCCACAGAACCCCCTCTCTAGTTTAGGATCAGGTTTCTTCTAGTCTCGTTCGTTCTGATGAGATAAATTCTTCCCGTCAGGAATCAGAGCTGTCGGTGTTTTAAGTTCTGGTCCTCCAGGTCCAGCGGGTCAACCCACAGATAATCAGAGTGGGAGGAGCAGCACCGTCAACACAAGCAGG